AGGGGGGGGGCAACAGGGGCGAAGGTTCGACACGCAACACTGCGCTCCGAGGCCGAGAGCGGGTGGAGGAAGGGCGTGCGGGCGAGAGAGTATGGATAGAGAACATGGGACACAGCAGTTGCCTCCTGTTCCTGTCCCGCACCCAGGCTGTGCTCATGCTCGGCTCGAGGACATTGGTTTTGACTTTGAGCTGACCGAAGAGGACGTCCAGATCCTCCGCTCAAAGGGCGAGCTGGCGGGCGAGGTCGACGAGTTTAACGATCGCATGTGGCTGGAAGTCGATGACCACGCTACTTGCCATCCTGACCATGAAGATCGCCGCATCAGCGACCTCGATTCCATCTCGTTGCCGGCGCCGCGGCCCAAGAGGAGCTCGCAGCTGGCCCTCTTGCTCGGGTGGAACTACTCGACAAGAGCGCAGATGGGAAAGTACGCAGCGGTGTATGGGAGATGTGGCTTTGGCAAGAGGCTGCTCTTCACTCCAACGCTGCCGGATACGTACGGCGTCGATCGCGCCTGCCGCATTGCTCACAAGACTGTGGCGGCGCTGGCAGCGCTCGTTGACGACGAGCCGAAGACCCGTGCTGTCATTCACGTCTTCTCCGGCTCGGTCTACATCTACATCCGCATGCTTGTCTGGATTGAGGCTTTTACCCGCAGGTCAAGCACGCCGTCGCTGGCGTCGTCTTTGACTCGACGCCCATCGACGCCTCGGCTGCAAACGGGACCAACGCCGTCATGGAGGTCTCGTCGCTCCCGCGGCTCGCGTGGGGCCCGCTCTACACCGTCTTCTGGCTGTACTGGAACGCGGTCATGCCGTTCAACGCCTGGGTCGGCAAGTGGAAGTCGCGGTTCTGGACATCGATCTTCCCGCGCCCGCCGCTCCGCGCCCCCGTCGCCTTCTTCTACTCGCCCAGCGACAACATCGCGCCTGCAGACTTTATCGAGGCCCAGGCCCGTGCCCTCGTCACCGCCGGCCTACGTGCCGAGCTCTACCCGGTCCCGCCCACACCAGACGGTACTCGGGTCCCGCCGCACTGCACCCACCTCATGCTCCATCCAGATTGGTACGCCGGCGCGCTGGAAACGTTCCTCGGCTCGTTGGATGGGCTGGAGCTCGACCACTTTGTCCGATCTCGACTGTGACTGCGGGAGACCGTAAAATGAGGAGAAGATGGGCTCCAACCGTGCATGCGGGGTCGGCGTAGCGTCTTTAGTCTGCGTCCCATGGACGACGCGAGTGGATCTGTGCCACTGAACAGCGAGCTCGAAGCTGAGCAAGCCAAAATCGGAGATCATGATTTTGTGTGTCTCGTCATCACACCCCGATACTCGGGCTTGGTTAATCAGCGCTGAACCCCCTAAAACCATCAATACATGCACCCGCCCGTAAGCAACCAGCCACCTCGCCCTACCCATCTATAACTAGCTACAATCATTCGCAAGCTGCTCTTCAGGACCACTATCTTTCATCGACCTGAAAAACGCCTCGCGGGGAGCGCGATCTTGCTGCCTCATCCTCCCGCCCCAACCCCACATCGCTCTTCTCCCATCCAAGCTACACCCTTCCAGCATGTCGATGTTCATGCTCCCAAGGCCAAGTGAGTCGGATGCGATAGCTCTTGATCAGCTGCTGTTGAGTAGCAATTCGTTGCCTTTGTGGTTGCTTTCTTTCTTTTTATTTTTTTTTGGGCTTTGTTTGAGAAGCACCTGACTCTATTCCGTGGTCATGTCGTCGACAGCTCCCGCACTCCCGGACGTCGACCCGTTCTTCCTCCTCGTTGCCCGTGAATGGCGCAAGGCCGACACAGACGGAGACGGTTCGCTCAACCGCAAAGAGGTATGTAGTGTGTATACGTCTTGCGCACTGACCTTGCCCATCCCATCCCCCTCCTTCCTCTCCTTCCCTGGCTTTCCTGGCTTTCCTGGCTTCCCTGGCTTCCCTGTGGTGGTGGTGCGGTGCGGTGGTGGTGCGGCGCGATGCGGTGGTTGGTTGGGGCGAATTAGCTACTGCTGGTCATCACCTTGGACGACATCTAGGCTCTCGGGGAGGCTATGGTGCAGGTGATTGTGTTGTTCTTGTGCGTGTATGTGTTTGTGTATGTGTATGTGTATGTGTATGTGTATGTGTGTATGTATGTGTGCACTCATCTGTGATGTGTGGGTTGTCTTGTCCGTGGCTGCGCTCTGGGTCCGCATCGCTCTCTCGCTCGCTTGCTCTCTCGCTTGCTCTCTCGCTCTCTCGCTGGCTCTCTCTCGCTCGCTTGCTCACTCGCTTGCTCTCTCGCTCTCTCGCTGGCTCTCTCTCTCTCTCGCTCGCTCTCTCGCTGGCTCTCTCTCTCGCTGGCTCGCTCTCTCGCTGGCTCGCTCTCTCGCTGGCTCGCTCTCTCGCTCGCTCGCTCTCTCGCTCTCGCTCGCTCTCCCCTGCTCCCCTGCTCCCCTTCCCCGCCTCCTCGATCAATGGCAATGTTGCCAGATCGCTGCCCTCATTCCGAGGCTCAACCTCACTGTCAAGAAGAAGGTGCTCAAGTCCAAGTTTAACGTACGGATGACTGTGATGACAGCCGCTGCGTGTGTGGTGTGTGATGAGGGCATCACCGATGTGTGGTGGTGGTTATGTGTGGCGTGGGTGAGTGTATGCAGGGGGGGGGGGGAGGATTGGGACTCACTGACCACAACGCTCACATCGTTGACAGGAGGTCGACGTTGACAAGTCCGGCACGCTCAACTTTACCGAGTTTATGGCCTTTCTCAACAACCTCCGCAACCGGCCGGAGATCAACGCGGTGTTTGCGCAGTACTCGGGCAACAGCGACCACCTGACGCCGGAGCAGTTCCGCGAGTTCCTCATCAACGAGCAGATGGAGCTCGGCGTGACAGTCAACGACGTTGTCGGCCTCATCCACACGCTCGAGGGCTCCGACTCGGCACGGCATTTGTACCTATCGGGCTTTACGAGCTACATGACGTCCGAGGTGCACAACTCGTGGCGGGCACCCGAGCACAAGCGAGTGTACCAGAACATGGACCAGCCGCTCTCGCACTACTTTGTTGCCTCGTCGCACAATACCTACTGCAGTGGCGATCAGCTCAAGGGCGCGTCTTCGGTCGAGATGTACGAGTATGCGCTCAAGAAGGGCTGCCGCTGCGTCGAGCTCGACTGCTGGGACGGGCCCGACAACGAGCCGCTCATCTACCACGGCCGCACCCTCACTTCGCGCATCAAGTTTCGCGACGTCATTGAGTGCATCAAGACCCACGCCTTTGCCGTCTCCGACTATCCAGTCATCCTCTCACTCGAGAACCACTGCTCTCACGCCCAGCAGGCCGTCATGGCCGACATCATGACCGAAGTCTTTGGCGACATGCTCCCTCCGCCGTTCCCTTCCTCGCGCGCCCTGCCCTCGCCCAACGAGCTCAAGCACAAGATCCTGCTCAAGGGCAAGACCGTCGTCGTCAGCGATACCATCTCGGACGACGAGTACGAGTACGAGTACGACGAAGCGGCTGCAGCCGGGGGCTCAGGCGTCGCCCAGGGCGCCGACGAGCAGCAGGAGGAAGAAAGCGACGGCCGCGCAAAGGCCTCGCGCTCGTCGGCGAGCAACAACACCGGTGACAACGATGACTCAGAGCTCGAGTCTGACGAGTTTGATACCGACGAGGAGCTCGACGACGCCATCGATGGCTTTGGCGGCGAGGGCAGCAACTCGGGCAGCTCGTCAAAGGCGCGCTCGCGCTCCACCCTCGGCAGGCTCGGCTCGCTCACCCGCAAGGTCTCATCCACAACCATGTCAATGACCAAGGGCATCGCCCGCGCTGTCACGCCCAAGGCCAAGGCACCCAAAGAAAAGGTCGCCGCCGAGCTCTCACAGCTCATCCACCTCAAAGCTGTCCACTTCAAATCGTTCACTTCCGAGCTGGCCGACGCCCGGAAAATGAGCTCGTTCTCCGAGAACAAGATCGGCAAGCTGGTCAAGCTCTCGTCGGCTGCCATGGTCGACTACTGCAAGCGCCAGCTCGCCCGGGTCTACCCCAAGGGCACCCGCTTCGACTCGTCCAACTACGACCCGTTCCCGGCCTGGTGCATCGGCGCCCAGCTCGTCGCCCTCAACTACCAGACCGCAGGCCTCCGCATGTGGCTCAACCAAGGCTTCTTCAACGACAACGGGAACTCGGGCTACAAGCTCAAGCCGTACTACCTCCGCTCGCCGGCTATCGAGTGGTCGCCCTCTGCCCTCGAGTCGCATGTCATGTCCTGCAAGGTCTCGGTTAAGTCTGGTTGGCAGCTCCCACGCATCTCGGGCGCCAAGGGTGATATCATCGACCCGTACGTCATAGTCTCCGTCTTTGGCGTTCCACAAGACATTGCATCGTCCAAGACCAAGGTCGTCAAGAACAACGGGTTTAATCCAGTCTGGGAGCACGAGACGACCTTTAAGCTAGCCGCCCCCGAGCTCGCCGTCGTCCTCTTCCGCGTCATGGACTCGGACAACTTTTCTAAGGACGACTTTATCGCCTACGCCGCCCTCCCCGTCACCTCGATCCGCTCCGGCTACCGCCACGTCCAGCTCTCGACTGTTAAGGACGTGCCGGTGCCCATGGCCTCGCTCTTTGTCAACTTTCAGTTCACATAGCCACGTGCAAGCGCATTGAAACTACAGCCGACCTCGCCCTCACATCGCGTTCGCGCAGGCGACGACGTGGAGCGCAAGGCCATTGAACGCACCCACACACAGCGCGTGCGCCTCGGCTTCGGGCAGCGGCACCTCGTCCGCCACCACACACGCCTCGCGCAGCGCACGTACAAGCGTCTCGGACCCTTTGCGCTTGTACGTCGCCACAGCCTCCACCAGCTCCACGTGGTCCGTGATCGAGTTGGCAACGATCACCGCTGCGTTCTCACCCGCAGTCTCAAGTGCCGTCAGCACTTGGGCCGTCAACTCAGCATCGGTGTGCGGAAGGTAGCAAATGAGGAGCACGTTGCCATCGCCACTCGCACTGTTTGCCAGGGCATCCTCCAGCTCAGCGCTGGTCAGACACGCCGCAGCCACCTCGAGCGGCCCGCCAAGCTCATCAGGCAGGCTGGCGAGCGCCGCCACATCGCTGCCCTCGTCAAAGGCAGGATCAAAGACCTTGACGTCGCCGGCTTCCCGATCTGCACCGAGCGCATCCGCCAACTGCAGCAAGAGCGCCAGCTGTAGCTGCGCAACCCGCGATCCAACCATCCGTCCGAGCCCAGCCGCCAGCACCACTACCCGTCGATCCTCCGCCAGCTCTTGCACTCGCGGCAGGATGTCTTCCGCAAACACGTGCCAAAAATCCGATCGCCGCAGCTCGTCCACCGCCGACTGCACCCGTCCGTGGACGAGAGCCGCCAGCTCGCCACCTCGACCGACCTCGTCCTCGGGCTCTTGACCTCGCTGCCTCGCAGGCACCTCCTTGGACACACCTCCTCCCCCCTCCGCCCTTGCCGCACCCTCTTCCCGCCTCTCTTGCGCCCTACCACCACAAAGCCGTCGCCATCCATCCTCGGCTGCCCAGCCACTGCTCGAGTTGAGTCGTACGAGCTCGAGCTGAAGCCGACGGCTCGACCCCGCCCGAGCCGAGCCGCCACATCGGCCGGTGGCGAGATGTCACAGCTCATCTTGACCGATCCAAGCCTTACCGCGTGTAGCGATCCTCGTGTATGGTGGTGGGCCGAGGCTACGTGATGGGGCATCATCGCCCGCGATGGTCACCTCAGGGGAGCGATCGGATGAGTGCCTGTGAGCAAGGCGGATGGAGAGCTCGTGCTTGTCGCGCACTTGCTTGCCAGACGCGACACCGCACTCAAGACACACACTGCGGCCTGTACTACATGTCTGCGCAAGATAGGCTGACTGGGGCCAGTGTGCCGGCTGTGGGGGAAGAGGGAGTGGCCGCGGATGCGAGCGCGATGGCATTCACGGTTGTGGCGATGGCGACCGAGGTGGCACGGAGGACAACGACGGTGTATCCGCCACCGTATGATGGTGTGTGCGAGGGCCGGACGAAGCAAGCGGTGGGCAATGCGGTGGGAATGAGCCAGTTTGGTGTTAATCGCACGACGCTGGCGCCAGGCGCGTGGACGGCCCAGCGGCACTGGCACACGATCAACGATGAGATGGTCATTGTGGTCTCGGGTGAGGTCGTCCTGGTGACCGAGTGCGGCGAGCGGGTGCTGCATACGGGCGAAGCTGTAGGCTTTCCAGCGGGCAAGGCCAACGGCCACTGCATCAAGAACGTGAGCGAGGCCGAGGCGGTGATCCTGGAGATCGGCGCACGCGAGCCTGGCGACGGTGCCCGGTATCCCGACATCGACATGCAGGCCGATCATGACGCCGAGACCGGCAAGTGGTCGTTTACCACAAAGGGCGGCGCGCCGCTAGCGTGAGGGCTGCAGCTGCACTCTACCTCTTCACCGGCGGGCCCTGAGGCATTGCGTTGTACGCCTCGAGCGCCCGCTTCCGCGAAGCCTCGGTGAGCGTCGGCGGGAGGTTGGGGAACGGCGGCGGCGATGCCGGCGGCGAATCGGGGTAAACGTCGGACGCCGGCGAAGTTGGCTCATCGGCCGGAGTCGGCCGCGCAAAGCGGAGGTGTGGCGGGAGACTGGCTTGCTGCGGCGGCGCCTGTTGCTGCTGCGGCGCCTGTTGCTGCTGCGGCGCCTGTTGCTGCGGCGGCGCCTGTTGCTGCGGCGCAAAGCGGGAGTGCTGCGGCAGCGCCGTCGCATGAGGTGCGGCAGCTGCGGGCACAGCCGGGACAGTCGGCGGTGGCCCGGGCGGGAGCGGCGGCGGGTGGCGATGGTGCATCGGCGGCGGCGGGAGCGGCGGGCCACGATGGTGGCGGGCATGCCGTGCGTGGTGGAGATGAGGTGGGATGTGGCGACGCGGACCGGGCGGCGGCGGCATGCGCTGGTGCTGATGCGGGCGCGCGACGCGCGGAGGGGCCGACGGATCGGGCTGGAGAACGCGGCCGCGATCGGCGCAGACAGTGAGGCCCGGGAGCGAAGCCTTGAAGACTGGCTCGGTCCCGGCCTCGCCGTGGGCAAACGAGAGCTGCAGATAGTCCTCGCCCAGCTTGGGCTTGACCGTCGGCTTGTACTTGACATATGCTGGCGGATAGCCCCAGTACAACATTTTGGAGAAGAACGGGGCGTCGGACGACGGTGCCGACGGCGGCATGCCCAGTGCGCGTCTAAGATCCTGAGAAAGATCCGCGCCGGCGACGATGGGCTCGGTGGCCATATTGGCCAGAAAGGCGAGGCGGGCATCGCGATCGGCCGGCGCCAGCGGCGGGCGCCTGGCCATGGCCTTGCTGCGGTTGGCCGAGACTTGTGCGCCGTCGAAGGGCATCGAGCACTCGGTGACCTTGTGTCCGGGCCTCCCACAGTTGAAGCACCGATCCAGCCTGTCGCGCGGATTGTCATTGGCGTCGATGGTCTCGCCGAGAGCGGCCGACTCGGTCGACGCGTACCGCGGGATGTTGTCGTCTGCGCCCTGCGCCAGCCGGGCCGGCGTCCCGAGCTCACCTGCTGCCCGTCGGAAGGTGGCATACCCCGCCGAGTCCATGGTGTCAACCATCAGATCCGAGCCGCGGAAGTAGCACTGATCGTCAAGCGGAGCAGCTTCGGCCGCTGATGCCTCCTCCGGCGCCGTCCACGGCGGCAGACGATCCACCACGGCCTGCACAGCGTCCTCGATCTTCCGCTTCGCATCGAGTGGCATGCCCGCGTAAAAGATGACCCGAACCACAGGCGGACCCATGCCCGCTACCACCGCCGCATTGATGCCCTTTGCCTCCAGCGATGCATCGCTTGTCGTCTCTGCTGCCCTCTCTCCTGCCTTTGATCCGCTCCGCCTCTCCTCAGAATCCGAAGCCGATCCGCCACCGCCACTCGCCCCCGTCGCCGATCCAGCACCAACAGCCGACTGAACAGAGGCCGCTGTCGCCGCCGCCACCTCCGCCGCCATCGCCGCCGCCGCCGCACCCGCCGCTGCCGACGACGACGACGACGACGACGACGACGACGACGATGACGACGACGATGAAAAGTGACGGAATCTGTTGCGGACGGGCTCTTCCTCCTCAAACCCTTCAAACAGTGACGCGTCCATGGTCTTGCCTCCTCTAAGCTCAATGAGCGTGAGGTGGTGGGGGAGGGGAGGTGGTGCTGGGCTGAGTAAGTGGGGGGGAAGAGGGGGGGGGGAGGTGGCGGGAGGTCTGTTGGTGATGGATGGATGGCATCGACAAAGTGTGGAGGGGGCGCCGGGAGGGGGGCGGCTGCTCACATGGGCCGAGGGATTGAGGCCGAGTATGAGGCTTTGTGTATGTGATTGAGTGAAATTAGCGACATGATTCAGAGTCACTGCTGGGCTGGATCACGATCCGCACGACGTGGAAGAGGAAGATGCAGACGACGACGCCGTTGAGGGCGATGATCGACGAGCCGACAACGGTGAGATCGTCCGCAGACGTCCGTGGATTGAGGAATGACATGGCCATGACCACGTAGGAGAAAGCAAGCGCCGCCAGTGAGAGTTCTTCCATCAAGTTCGCCGAGGACGAGAGGAACGGCCGCAGACGGCACTGAACGACAAGCGAGACAAGGAGCAGCGCCACAATAAGCGATCCGGCCACGACGGGCGAATCGACGGGCGGGAGGAGCGAGAGTACAAGCGCGACCGCAAATCGGCGCGCAAGAATAACAAACTCGAACCACCACACCTGCGTCCCAAAGATGCCAAACATTAACTGGGCCGTGTTCTGCAAGACCGGCGAGAGATCGCGCGCCCGCCGGCGAGCCCGCAGCACTGCCCCGCTCAGCAGCCAGCCGGCGCCCAGGACCAGAGCCACCACAGCCACAAGCGTCACGCCCGCCACCGTTGCCATCACTTGGTACGAGTGCGACTGGCACGAGATCCATGGCGCCGCCACCATGTACGATGCCGTCTCGAGCGGATCAGCCGAAGGCGCGCAGTGGAGCACCGTCAGCGTGTGCTGGGTAATGGGAAAGGCAAAGACAAAGGCGAGAAAGAACACCATGGCCAGCGAGTTGTTGTCAAGCGCTACCCGCATGGCTGCAAACTGATTGCGGAGCGCGCTCACCCGTGAGTGCGTCCCGTGGCTCCCCTGGACCGGCGCCAGTAACTGGGTGGTCTCGCCGCGCGGCGAGGCGCCGTTCACCGAGAACACGGCTTCCAGCCGAGCCCTGCTCCGAGCGAATCTCCAGACGTATGTTGCCCGTCGCGCAGCCCACATGATCGCCACCGTTCCGATGAGTGCCGGCAGCATGGCGCAAAAGAGTACGAGCTTGTTGCCGTAGCTCCATCCCACGCAGTCGAGGCCCTCCCACCGGACGTTGACGCGCTGGATGAGCCGCACAAACCACGAGAGCGACGGCGTCCACACGCCGGCTTGGGCGTCGACAAGCGACGCGAGCATCTGTAGGTACACAAGCATGATCCGGAACAGCGCGTGGAGCTGCGTCGCCGTCTGTGGTCGCGTCGCACGCGATGCAAGCTCGGCATTTCGCAAGTAGTTGGCCTTGGCCGCAAAGACAAACAAGACCAATACCGCCAGTCCCACTATGAGTACTATCTCCTCGAGCACTGTGGCGATGCCGAGGAGCGAGACAAGGATAAAGGTGATGACAAAGAGAACCACAAGCACAAGTTCCTGGCTGTACTGGCGCACCCGCAGGACCAGCGCGCGGCACGAAAAGCCCGGCTCGCCGAGCCCGAGCTCGCGCGTCCGTACCGCATGCAGCAGCAACAGGTTAGACGACCTTGTATCGCGCGTCAGCATCCACTCGAGAAGGAGCGCGACGGAGAGAAGGACAAGCAAAAGAATCCACGACCACGGGTTGCGGACAATCGACGACGACGCGTTTGAATGCGTGCACTTTGTGCACTTGCCCAGCGCCGCAAAGTAGCCCACGTCACACTGCGAACACAGCCGAGACCGATAGCCTGTGGCGCAGTACTCGCTACTGCTCGCGGCAGTGCAGACAAGCGGGGAGCCAAACGACTGCGAGACACACGTCACTGTGCCTCTTGGGTTGCAAAGCTCTTCTCCACACCAGATGAACCGCCGCGCCGCCTGCGGTTGCGGCGACGGCCACCATCCAGGCGCAAGCTGCAGCGACCGACCCGACGCACGACCGCACGATGCACCCAGCGCCTGTAGCTCGTTGGCGCGTGGAATGATGCACAGCGAGTCGAGCGGCTGGCAACCGGCCGATCCGCTCTCCGGATCCACCACACCAATGTAGCCGTCAAGGCAGTTGCACAAGGTCCACGCGTAGTAGCTCGGATCGACTTGAAGCGCCGTCGTCCCGGTCGCTGCGTCGGTCAGGAGCGGGCACGAGTAGTGGCTGTCCGGAAAGACCATCGACGAGACCAGCTGGTCGGCGCCGCTAAACGGCTCCAGATAACCGGGAAGCTTGGCCGCGCGCATCTCCGGATTGCCCACCACCGAGAGCGAGAGCAGCTGCGAGTCGATGTTGACCTGGATTCGCGACGGCAGCTCGCCGCGAAACTCGTTGCTTGCCAGATCGCCGACCAGCAGGTGAGCCGGGAGGTCTGAAATGACGCCGCTCAGCTTGTTGTGCGAGAGGTCAATGACCTGCAGTGCGGGAAACATCCGCATGAGCATGCTCACGTCGCCAGTGAGCGAAATGTTGGACGCCAGGAACGCCACCATCTGGGTCAGCTGCGGCCAGAAGACCTCGATGATCGGATATGGCGTGAGCCGCTCTTCAAAGCACGCCGAGAGCTTTGGCAAACCGCCGACGGTCAGCTGGGCCATCAGCTCGCGAAAGGTAAGCTGCGACGAGAACTGCGGGTGGATGTGGACGTGTGAGATGTCGAGCGCAAAGAGTGACGATGAAAACGAGCACGAGCCGTCCGAGCCCACAAAGGAAAACACTTCTGGAAGCACGGTAAGGGCAGTGTTGGAGAGAAAAGAAAGGAGATCGAGGACGTTGATATGGATGCATCGGCCGCAAAACCGAGCAGCTCGAGGTTGTACGATACGTCGAGGTAGAGCAACCGCTCGCCGATGAGGCCCGGCGGGAGGAGTCCGCTCAGCTGGCAATGCGAGACGTCGATGAAACGCAACCTCGGCGAGAGGCTCTCGATCCCGTCCGGGAGGACAGAAAAGCCACAGTACGATGCGTCGAGGTAGGTGAGCGAAGGCGTAAAGGCATGGGCGAGCGAGCCTGAGAGCCGCGGGTTGTGCGAGACGACAAACGACGAGAGCGCCGTCGAGAGAGCCAGCGACGGCGGGATGGTGCCCGACAAGTTGTTAAAGCTGAGATCGAGGAGCTCGAGAAAAGCAAATGTGGTGTTCGAGACCTCGGGAATGGTGCCCTCCAGGCGGTTGCCCGCCACCGAGAGCATGGTCAGTCGCGGCGCGGTGAGAAGCGCCACGTGAGGCGGGAGGAAGCCGGAAAATTGCACCACGCAAAGTTGACATAGTCCAGATCAAAATGCGGCGACGAGAAGAGCGACGGCGGGAGCTGGCCCGAGAGCATGGGGTTCTTCTCGGCCACAAGCGTAGTCAGCCGTGGCATGCTTTGAAACAAATCGCTCGGGATGGTGCCCTCGAGATCGTTCGACGAGATCTGAAGGTCGACCATGCGCGTCAGCGCAGAGTAGCCGTCGGGGATGGTGCCCGAGAGCGATGCCGACGGGATCTGAAGAGTTGAGAGCTGCGAGAGTGTTGAAAACTCGGGAGGAAGCGAGCCAGAGAGCGAGGAAAGCCAAGCGAGAGGAACTCCAGCTGACTGCACTTTGCGAGTGCTGCGGGCAGCGTGCCACCCAGCCCGTCGTTGTTGGCGAGGTTGAGATGGGCGAGCCTTGGCCATGAGGCACAGATCGAATCCGGGAGAGTGCCGGCGAGCTCGTTGAGCGCAACCGAGTAGTGGACCATGCCGGATGCGGTCAAGAGGAGCGGTGGGAAGATGCTGCCGTGGAAAAAGTTGCGCGAGGCGTCAAAGTGGGTGAGATTGACCACGTTGGCTGAGAGATCCAGCGGGCCAAAGTAGGCATTGCCGACGAGATCGATGACCTCAACCGCGGCTTCAGGATGAAAGGCCGGTAGCGAGCCTTGAAACGCGTTGTAAGATATGTTGAGAACCTTCAGCCGAGACAGCTCAACGAGGGACGGCAGGTGGCCGACGAGCTGGTTGTGGGCGAGGTTGACTCGTTCCAGCGCCGCAAAGCGGGCGAGCAAGTGTGTCTCGAGGGCCCCAACGAGGTTGTTGGCCGGCAGCACGAGCTCGGTGACCAGCTCTCCATCACAGCCCACCCCATACCATGTGCAGTACGAACTCGTTGTGTTCCATCCATTGTATGAGATCCATCGCTCCGCTCCTGTGGAGATCCAGAGGTCGACAAGGGCGTCTCGCTGTCCGGGTACGACTGGTGTGAGCTCTACCACAGGCACCAAGGCAAGGAGAGCTACGAAATAGCACACCCACAAAGTCAAAGCCATGGTTGTGACCCCCTTTCCCCCCAGGCAAGTTCAGTGTGTGATGAAGTAACCTTGCTCCCGTTTGGCCACCCGCCGTGTACGCCTCGTAAAGTCGTGGCCGTGTCAGGTGTCTCATGGGGGAAAGTGATGCACGCGTGCGCATGGACCCACCATTCTTCGCGCACACGCAGAACGTGACCACCACCACCACCACCACCACCACTACCACTGATGACACCTGTCGCACCTGCTCCAGCACAACCAAAGGCGGCGTGTGCTATGTCGGCAGTGGCTGCATTGACGGCGTTACTGGAAAAGGTGCTTCATGTCGGGTCGGGTCAGGAACTTGTGGCAGGTGCAAGAGAGTCGGTGGACGAGTCTGGGACGGTGGCTGGATCGAGCGGGTCGCGGGAGGCCGATGCAGGCGATGCCATGCAGAGCGACAAGCCATGCCCAAGCTCTGATGACATCTCAAATGCTGTTAATTGTCTGCGATCAGCAGTCTCCGCTGGTGAGGTTGCTCCTGCCGATGTCACGAGCCTCATGCCGCTGCTGCTGGCCTATGACAAGCGACGCAGTCCGACTCCGCCGTGGGCGCTGAGCATCAACCTCTGCATCGACGTGCTGGTGTCGGCGCGCAACGCGCCGCCGCACCAGCTCATTGCTTTTCTCGCTGAGCTCTTTGTTGATGCCGGCGAGCTCATGACCGCGGCGCTTCTCTATGCCTCACTCCCGCTTGGTGCCCGTCCCCGTTTGACGTCCTCCTCACGACGGCGCTCGGAAAGTATGGGATCGACTCTGCGCCCCGAGTTGCGCTCTCGGCAAGCACTGCAGACCTTGCTTCACCCATGAACATGCTTGGCTTGGGCGAGGACGGCCTCCGCGAGACCTTTGATCGCCTGGTCATCATCGCGTCGACGGTCGCGCGCGTGTATGGACCAGACGACCCCGCTGTTGGCGATCTCGTCCACACCGCGAACGTCCTCGGCCGCGCCTCGTTGCAGCAGCTGCCGCCTGTGGAGTCAGCCTCTCTCGCCATGGGCTGCGTCGCCGACACTCTGCAGCGGATGCTGGCTAGAGTCAAGGCGGAGGCGGCCGAGCGGGCCGAGCCGCTCTCGCCGCGGCTCACCGCACTTTTTCACCATGTCATCCACTTGCTTGTACTCCCGCTGCTTCCGACACCACCACTCGAGTACGCGCTGCTAGGCCTCGGCTCGATGGCGCGTTCTGAGCTCTCTGCCTCGTCCGACATCGACTGCATGGTCCTTGTTGCGTCAAAGCCCACAGCCGATGAGGCCTCGTGGCTCAACATCTTCGCTACTCTGATCGAGCTCTGCATGGTGGCGTTTGGCGAGACGCAGGCCCACATCGGACCGTATGCTGTGCTTTCGCGTCCTGCAGGCTTTCATCTCGACGAGGCGCTACTCTCGCCGCGGCACATGCAGCTGACGGTTACCCAGGCCATTGAGCGGCAACGCGCTGAGCTTCGCCGGCTCGCCACCGAGCCTAACGCTGACATTGACCCAATTGCTGGCGCGCTGCGAAACGCGTGCTTTGTTGCAGGCTCCCGGACTCTCTACGGTGATTACATCGACAGACTGGCAGAGCTTTTTGCCTCGCCGTCTCAAGAGCTCGGTCTCTACTCTCTCTCGCGCAACTGCTCGAAGACTCACGGTGTGTTTGCGCCGCAGACCAGCACTGGGGCCTTTTCGGGCACTGCACATCTCAAGCCGCTCATTCTTCGTCCGATTTCGTTGCTCGCAGACGGATGCATGCTGGCGCTGGCGCCGCATGATGCGGCTCGTATCCTCTTCACAGTCGACCGCCTCGATTGCCTCTCAGGACCAACGCTTGAGGCTTTCCCTCCGCCAGTCGCCCGGGCGCTGGCTGTCATTTTTGAGCAGGCAATGGCGCTGCGGGACGCGTATGCGCCATCGTTTGCTACCATGCAGGCCTTGGCGCACGATGCTGCTCAGTTGCTCGGCCCGATCGCTGCCGGCATCGACGCTCTCTGCACCTCACAGCTGCCGCCCAGGATGGCCGCTAAGGACGCGCTAGGCAACCCGCTGCTTCACGAAGAGGCACTGCTCCGACTTGCGCTGGACTCATTTTCGGCGGTGCGGGTCTCGCCTGCAGTCCGGGACGACCCTGAGTTTGAGGGCCAGCGCGCCGCCGTCGCCAGTGGGCTTGGCGACGGCGCATGCTTTGCCGGCATCGAGCCACAGAGTGTGCGGTTGCTGAGTCCGGAGGCCGTGGCTGCATTGGATGCTACCCCGGCTGCTGTCTTTGCTCTCCCCCGCGCGTCGATCTTTTGGCGAAACGCGCAGCTGGAGGCAGTTCTCGAACCTGCGGTCTCGCCGCTCGCCACCCGAACGTACCACGCCATCCACGCACTCGGCGCACTCGCACTCGGCCCGCCTACTGGGCGAATCTCGGACATTGCATTTGCCGGATCATCACCTGCGGCTACGTCGGTTTACATTGTCATCCGCGGCCAACTCCAAGAGTATCGGCTCCGGCTGCGGCGGGCCTCGGCGGTGCCACTGACCGAGGCGCTGACGGCGACCTCGAGTACTGTGCTCGAGCGGGTGACCAACTTGCCGCACGTTGCACACGCCGTGCTTCTCTCGCTCTTTGCCGGTCTCGCACACTGCGGGCCGGACGCGTACGAAATCGACGAGTCGGGCTTACTTTACGTGGGCGGCCCCGAGCCTGCACCCTTCAACTCGTCGGCATCGCTGGCGTCAATCTTGCTCGCCTCGCGTGCGGTGCTGGAGAGCACCGTTCCGCAGGCAGTCCACGCTCGACTTGCAGCCCTGGCGCCGCGAGCAGTGGTCGAGGCGTGGATGAGCGCAGCATGCAGAGACAACGACGATCTTGTTCGCCCTGCGTACCTCTCTGTCCTTCTCAACAGGCTCTATGCCGCCAAGACGGTGGCAGCGTCGCGCGATGTGGGGACGCTCGCGCTCGGGGATCTCGCCGGTGCCATCGACGCCCGGCTAGTCGACCGGTACCGGGCGCGAATTGCTTCCGAGCGCGGACACACTCCCCTCAAGGTCTTCCGCAAAGTAGCCAAATCGCTCAGCGAGCCTACTACCCCGAGTGTCTCCGCCTCGACCGCATCGCTCGCCCAGATTTGGTCGTCAATGACCTCGACGTCATCAGCGCAGGCGGACGACGAGACTGACACACCCGACGCCCGGCTTCGGGCGCTGGCAGCTCTCAAGGTTGATGCCTGGATCGAGACATTTCTGGAGCACTTTCCATGGGCATCGGCACAGCTTGAGGTCCAAGTCTCGCTGCTAAACGTGCTTCCGCAGCTCCGCCTGCGGCGGCTGGTACTCTCGGGCTGCACGGCGGTCACAAGCACCCGACTGTCAACGATCATGGCGGCATCACGAGGTTCGCTTGTCGACCTCGATGTCTCGGGCTGCACTGCGCTCGACTCGCTGTTGTGGATGACAAGCAAGCGACGGAACTGGGCTCTGGCCCGGGTCAACCTTGCCGGCTGCACCCTGCTCGGCGGCGGCGACGTGGCTGCGCTGGAGGCGGCCGCGCCTCATCTCGCCTGGCTTCAGCTCTCGTCCGACATGGATCTGTGCGGGACGTACTACGAGGTGACCGCCGGATCGCCGAGTCTTGTGCGACAGGCAGTCCGGCCGCAGATCCGCATTGCTCTGGATGCTTTGGTCCGGCCCGAGCCGACTCCGAGGTTCGTGACAGCGTCGACGCTGGCTATCTGCCGGGCCGACTTTTCCAAAGCCGGGCTGCACGATGAGTTTGGAGTGGCACTGGCACGCGTGCTGCTCGACAAGCGAGCGCCGCATGTAACTGATGTTTCGGTGGCGGGAAACGAGCTGACTGCCGTTGGCGTCCTCGCGCTAGTCAATGCTTTTGCGTCGGCCGACGACCAGTCGCGACTGGTGTCGGTCACGGTGGCGGACAATGCATTCGATGTCGATGGCGATGCTGACTTGCGGATGCTGCTTTTGCGGATGTCGTCAAGTCTCCGGATGAGCGGTCGCGTGCTCGACTACGGCGTGCAGCCAGCGTCGCGGGCTGTGTTCTTCGGCGACTCTGGCATGGACGTGTCGATGGTGGCTGACGCGGCGATCAACCCGAGTGGCGACCGGCTGGCGTGGCTTGCCCATCCGGGTGTTTGGGTTGCCACCATCCGGGAGGACGACGACGGGTACGGAATCCAGATTCCTATCTGGACTCGTGTTGTGTGCCGGGACGTGTGCGCCGTCGAGTGGCTCTCGGACGATGTGCTGGTGCTGGGTACGAGCGGCGGAGCGGTCGGTACAGCGCGGCTAGATGGCCATGATCCGGCGTTTGGCTGCATCCACGCCGGCGATGCAGTGACATCGATGGCAGTCCTGCCTGGCGAGCGGGTTCTAGTTGGGCGAGCCTCGGGCGTTCTCCACGAGGTGGAGCTGTCCGAGGTGGCATACGAGGCCGAGTCGCTTGTTTTGCACTCGTCACCAATCCATGCCTTGGCAATTCTTCCAGACTCGCGGGTGGCGACCGCAAGCTTTGACGGCGTCGTCGGTTTGTGGCTGCGGGCCGGGGCGGGATGGGTTCTCTTGGATCACTGGCGGGCGCCGACCGGAAGCGAGATAGGCCCGATGGTTGCGACGGCCGCGGGCGAGCTCTTGGTTGCACTGGCGCACCCGACCCAGCTCTTGGCAGTTGCTTTTGAGGGGAGCAAGCCGGCAGCTCGAGTGGTGTGGGAGGTGGACGATGGCGCGGAGGGTCTTTGCGTGGTGACACACCTCACGCCATGGGCGGGGCGATGTGTTTCGCGCGATGGCCTGACGCGAGTAGTCGAGCTGGACGACGAGACGACGAACGTGCGGCGAGCACCCGGCCTGCTCTGTCCTGTACGTTCGGCGGTGCGCTGGTACTGGCTGGTGTGGGACTGCGATGTGTTTGGGGTGGTGGCGGACGGGAGCCTTCCGCGGCCGCACCGGCAGTTTGATCTGTGCGAGCTGCAGCGGTCTGTGTAAGCGAGTGGTTGATGGACGGGCGGCTAAACCAGAGCGGCGCGGAGGACGTCGACAGTGCCGAGGAGCGAGTCGAGCTCGTTCTGGAAGATAGCGATTTCTGAGTTCTTGGCGGCAAGTTGGTTGGCGTGCTCTTTCTTGACGAGGGCGAGGTCGAGCTTGGATGAGGTCTTGGTGTCTTCGATGATAGACTCGAGTTCGAGCTCGCGCAGCATGTGCCGCTTTTCCATGTCCTCAATCTTGCGGGCGAGCTTGGCGATGTTGGTCAGCGCCGGCGAGGAGCGCAGCTTGGAGGCCTCGATGCGGAGCTCGGCGTTGGCCTCTTCGAGCTCGGCGATGCGGGCGTGGGCGAGGACTAGCTTGGATTGCATGTTCGAGACCTTGGAGCGGTACATGTCGAGGGCGGCGGTGACTTCGTCGGCTGCCACCGGGGCCGGAGGCGGCGGGGCTGGCACGGCCGGGCTCGGCTCCAAGTGAGCAGCCTCGAGAGCCTCGAGGCGGGTGAGGACCAGGTCGACCTGTGACTTGAGCTGACGCTGAGCTTTCGGCGTGGGCGGGACTGGGTCGTTCTCCTTGTTCTCCAGAGCGGTGGGAGGCGGCGGCGGAGAGGCAGGCGGCTGGTTCTTGGCCCGGCGGCTCCACTCGGCGGTGTCGAGCTTGGAGAGGAGCGCATCCATGGCTGCATCGTGCGCTGTGGTGATGGCGTTGAGTTCTGCGGCGTGAGCGTGCTCAGCAGCGTTTGCGGCGGCGCGAGCATCGTCGACGTCGGCGCGAGCAGCATCGAGATCTTCGGCGAGCTCGCGATTGCGGGCGCGGAGCTCGTCGAGTGCGATCGGGTCCGGAGCCGAGTCACCAAGCTCGCGGAGTTGGGCATTGGCAGCGCGGGCTTCGGCGAGCTCGCGTTCGAGGGTCCGGATCTTGGTGCGGAGGGCACGGACGCGGCCGGGCGGCCCAGAGGCCGGACGGGATGCAGCCTGCGGCGGAGCCGAGGCCTGGGCCTCGAGGCGGGCAATTTTGGCGTCTGCGTCACGAAGCTTGCGCTGGTAGAGCGAGCGGACGTTGGCAAGTGTGCGCTCAAGCTCGGCTACACGGCCACGTGTGGGCGGCGGGTTGCGACGCGGGCGAGGCGCGCCGTCAGCGGCGGCCTCGAGCTCGCGCTCGTAGAACGCGCGGGTCTTCTCATGCTTTTGGCGCAGGACCCGGAGCTCACGCGAGTGCTTGTCCTGGGCAGCGTCAAAGGCGGCGTTGACGCGCTCGAGCTCGCCCTTGAGAAAGGCGATGGTCTCGTTGTCGTCGGACGACGGAGCAGCAGCACGAATGAGCTCGGGGATGGAGTCAGGAAAGCGGTTGCGGATGACCTCGTCCATGTTGGCGACCTGGGCTTCGAGCTCGCGGATGCGGCGCTTGTCGGCAGCGCGGGTTGCGGCGGCGCGCTTGCGGGCAGCATCGTCGTGGGTGTCAGGGCTGCTGATGCCGGCATCGGCCAGTCGAAGGCGCAGTGCCTCGATGGTGGCACGAGCGTCGGCCAGCTCGGCGTCGGATGCGTCGATGAGCTCCTGGTTCTCCTCATACCAGCGGAGCTTGGACGTGAGCGATGCCACACGGGAAGCGGCGTCGTCGGCTTCCTGAGCAGCCTTGGCCTTGAGCGCCTCGAGCTCGGCAAGCGTCGCCTCGTAAGTGTCGAGGTTAATGCCGGCGACGCGGGCAGCGAGCTCCTTCTTCTCCTTGCGGCTCTTGTCGAGCTCAAACTTGAGCTCCAGCTCGCGAGTGCGAGCCGCCTCGAGCTCGGCGACAAGCTCAGGGTTGGGGTCTTGAGAAGGTGCGGGCGAGGAAAGCACAGAGGGCGAAGCCGGGGCAGGTGTGCGGCGAGCCGGGGCGGCGTCGGGGGATGCAGCTGCGGGCGAGGCGGTGGCGGTCTTGAGCTCCTTGATTTCTGCACAGAGCTTTTCGTTCTCGCGCTGGAAGCCCTGGATGAGAGCCTCCTGCTCCTTGACGTCTGCGGCAAGCCGAGAGAGCTCGTCGGGCGAGAGCGTGGCGAGGCCGGGGCGCCGTCGCGGAGAGCGGTGGCCCGGAGGGTAGAGCCACGACCAGGGGCAGCGAGCTTTGTGCGGAGCTCATCGACCTCTGCACGAAGGCCCTTAATGGTGGCGTCGGCCTTGTCGTGGGCGATGCGGGCGGCACGCTCAGCCTCGCGCTTGTGGCGGGCGAGGGCTGCCTTGGCCTGGACGGTGGCATCCTGGGCCTCTGCAAGCTGGGCATACAAACGGGTGAGCTCTGCGCGGAGCTCTGCAGTGGCGCGCTGGTTGGAGAGCTCAGCGGACGGCTCCCGGAACGAGGCCGCAGCCGGCGCTGGGGCGCGAGTCGGCGTCGCCGAGAGGGTCGGCTGAAGCGGGACGGTGAGGCCCGAGACTGAGCCGGCGTCAGAGTCGTCGTCAGAGGCCGAGGCTTCGGCAAGGAGCTCGCCGTAGTTGACAGGGCCCTCACGTTCTTTGCGAGCAAAGAACTCTGCCTTGGCTGCCGAGTCGTCGGCGTCACTGAGACGAAGCGCAGCGAGCTCCTCGAGCTTGTCGGAGAGTGGGGTGGAGCGGGAGCGGGATCGCGACCGCGAGGAGTACGAACCGTGCGGCGAGGCGGATGCCTCATGGGCTGCAGGCGCGCCTGCGTCGGCGCGGACGAGCTCGTCAAAGGGACCAGCGGCAATGAGCGAGACTTCGGGCGAGACCGACGAGCCGTCGCGATCACCTGACCACCTCACGGCATGCGCCGGGGTCGGCGGCGGAAGATCAGCAGCAGGCGTAGGTAGAACCGGGACTTCAGCAGGCGTAGGGTGCTGCAACCGTTGGGCGCCAAGCGTGTCGTCGTCCATGGAAAGCGATAGGTTCAGCGAGCACGACGCTACCGAAGAGGCGACCGATGAAGCTGGCGATGGCGAGGCAGAAGCCGATGACGAGGCCTTGGCTGACGTCGGCACAGCTCGCGGGGCCGGGCATCGACCACAGTCGGCTTAAGCCACTTTGACGCACTTTGCGCAGGCGCGGCGGTGGCGGGACGGGAGGCTGAGCGCTGAGTCATCCATGATGAGCGAGTAGTCGTCGATGCGGTGACGGGACGAGCAGAGGAGGTAGGGCGAGTGGTGGTGACGGACGAGCTCTTCTCAGCAAAGGCAGGCGCCATGGCTTCCCACGCATATCGCGGCTTGGCAGTGCCACCATTGGCGGCGTGACCAGCGCCAGGACCAGCGCCAAGGTCCATGTCAGGCTCCGAGTCTGAGATGGAAGCATCAAGGAAAGCTTCAAAGTCGTCTGGAATGGAAGAAGCCGAGGAGGAGAGAGCAGAGATGTCCATGGTGAGACTTCCCCCCTATGTAGGCGGGGGTGGTGGTGGTGGTAGCGGTGGTGGTGGTGTGGTGGTGGTGGTGAAGTGGCGCTGGTTTTGCGCGCCAAAAATGCAAGTCATTTTGGCGCGAGTGACTCTCTGTTTGCGACTGCCTGATGAGGGAGAGAGGGGAAGGGGGGAGGGGAAGGGGGGGGGGGGGGACATAGTGTGTTTGCTGTGTCGCGCGTGCGCGCGCGTGTGTGCATTGTTTGCTTTTCGTGACTCCTGCTGCACATGCTCATCCAAGCCTCGCTCAAGCGGTTTGTGCGGTACGTCTCGGTTGCCCACAAGGCGCTGCCTTGTAGCAACGAGACCGACGCTGCGAACGATTTTGCCTTTGGCACCACTGGGAACGAGACGTCGGCGGATGAGTGCGGGGAGGAGGATGAGATATGGAATGAGTCGAGCGCTGACAGGAGCAGCAGCAGCAGTAGCTGCTGCAGTAGCAGCATGGCCGGATTGATCAGCTCGTTGTCGCTTCCGTCGGTGCAGGCGATGGGCGAGGCGCTGGTGGCAGACAAAGTCGAACTCGAGTCGATTGTGGCTATCAGGTCGTTTGAAACAGGATCTGTAGCGCCGCTGCCCGGTTCAGGCGATGGGGACGGCGACGCGGCGTACGCGGCGTACGCGCGGGCGCAGCAGCGTGAGTTGCGCCAGTTTGACGGTTCGCTCCGGCTGGATCCGTCCTACCAGTCTCTACAGGAGCTTGCACTGGTCAAACCGTCACGGACCGGGGTCATTGTGCCAAAGCACCCTGATGCGTTCCGACGCAATTATCTTACCCAGATCAAGCTGTTCCCGGACAGAGGCGCGGTCGCCGTCGGCACGCCCGAGATGAGGTGACAAGAAGCCTGCTTGTTGTTTCTGTTGTTCCTGCCGTTTGCCGAACAGGACCAGCGGATACAGCGGGCTTACCTTTACGACGAGAGCTAGGTGCTGGCCCGAGACAGTGGGTCTGCGTTGCGGGGCTATGGAACCACAACGTGTGATGGCAGCATGGGACGGTGCGGGTTAGTGGGAGTGTCCCGGCAATTGAAATGTGCAGTTTTCCTGTGCCGCACCACCATTTCGTTTCGCCCCGGCCAGCGTCAGGCGGCAGCACGGGGCGCAACGATGCGGGGCGCAACAGCGCGATGGCAAGCGATGAGAAGGAGACTGGCTGGTAGTTTAGACGGCCAGACTATCTGCCAAGCGCGTCTTGATCGCCGATGGAGATATGCCCCATGTCGCGTTTGGTAGGGCAGGAGCAGGTGGGCAGCAGGTGCGGGAGAGAATGGGCTGGATCGATCGGCTGGGCATGATTTTGGATTTGTTCGGCTTTGGTGCCATTTCGGCGGCTGTTGACGCGAGCTGGTACACCCAACGTCGAACGGTAACCACAAAGATCAAAGATGGGGCCAGCAGTGCAGTACAAGGGTATTGTTACGGTACTTGTTCTTGTTTGCTTGGCGATGATGTGCCTAGGCGTTCTCGGCGATGTCGCCTCGGATGATGGGGCAGTACGCGCGCAGGCAGAGAACAAGCGAGCGGGCGACAGCGGGAGAGGCGAAGATGCAGCTAGGCTTGCCGCCGACGAGCTTGCCATTGTGATTGACGGCTCCAGCTCCGAGTGGGGATCTGTGCCGCACACAAGTAGAGATGATGGGTTCAACGACGGCCTCCGCAACGCGGATCCAGCGCCCTACAAGCACCCGCTTGCGGGGGGCGACGACTTTCTTCAGCTACGGTACGCGTCGGACACGACGTCTGTTTATGCAACAACAACGATGAAGGGACCATCGAGTGAGTCTGCACCAGGTGATCTGGCATACTTTATTGTGCCGTCAGGTGGGACCGATCGCGGATACGAGTTCCGGACGGGCGTCTTTGCAGTGGCTATGATGCTCAACGGCATCGGCTACGTGTACGATGGACCAGGGACGGGCACTCTGTGGGCATGGAAGGCGCTTGCGAGCGGATCCGAGTACGAACATGCCTGGGTCTCGACAGTGGTTGAGTTCCGGGTGGCGATTGCGGCGTGGTCGACGTTTACCATTGGCGCAGGCCAGTACGAGGTGTACGGCGTGTCGACGGACACCAAGGGGACCGCCGACTTTAGCGACGATGTTGTCGACTATGTACCTGACATTGGCGAGTTTGCATACCCTCCGCCGCCATCGCCACCTCCGGCGCCGCCATCGCCACCTCCTCCGCCGAGCCCGCCTCCGCCATCACCACCACCCAGCCCGCCGCCGCCGTACGAGTCTGGCGACGTGGTGCTCGACGGCGAGGACTGGGACTGGCAGGCCAAGAGCCACACACTTGTCAACGACGGAACGAACGACGGACTCTCTGCTGCAGACGCACAGCCGTACAAGAATGAGCTGAGGGCTGGCGACGACTTTGTTCGCCTTCGCTTTGCTGCAGACGCAGGCGAGGTCCAGGCGCTGAGCGAGATGCGCGGACCTGTGGCGTCGACCGACGGCGACCTTGCGTTCTTCATCGAGCCATCTGTGAGTACCAACTGGGGCTACGAGTTTCTGCCGGGCAAGTTTGCGGTGGCGATGATGCTCAACGGGATTGGGTATGTCTACGATCGCCAGGACAAGAGCAATGCATGGGCGTGGCGGCCGATGTCGGCTGGAAGCTTTGGCTATGCGACGTCGGGCAACAACGCCGAGTTTACGATGAAGACGTCCGAGTGGAGCTCGTTTACGACGAGCGGCGATCTTCTGGTACATGGCAAGTCTGTGGACACGCGCGGGACACCGTCCGACTTTGTGGACGATTATGTCGACTATGTGCCTGACATCGGCGAGTTTGCGACGCAGAGTCCGCCGCCGCCGCCGAGACCGCCACCGAGTCCGTCACCACCGCCGAGCCCGCCGCCACCACCGCCAAGCCCGCCGCCACCGCCGAGCCCGCCACCACCGAGCCCACCGCCGAGCCCACCACCGCCCTATGTGGCTGGCTCGGTGCTTGTGGATGGCGAGGACTGGGACTGGCTGGCCAAGAGCCACACACTTGTCAACGACGGGACGAACGACGGACTCTCTGCTGCAGACGCACAGCCGTACAAGCACGATCTGCGGGCAGGCGACGATTTTGTCCTGCTGAGGTTTGACAGCGACGGAAGCAAGGTCGAGGCGCTGGGCGAGATGCGCGGGCCTGTCGGGTCGACCGACGGCGACCTTGCGTTCTTCATCGAGCCGTCTGTGAGTACCAACTGGGGCTACGAGTTTCTGCCGGGCAAGTTTGCGGTGGCAATGATGCTCAACGGGATTGGGTATGTCTACGATCGCCAGGACAAGAGCAGTGTATGGGCGTGGCGGCCGATGGATGCCGGGTCGTACGCGTACGCGGCGTCGGGCAACAATGCCGAGTTTATGATGCAAGCTTCAGAGTGGAGCACGTTTACGACGAGTGGCGATCTGCTGGTGAACGGCAAGTCTGTGGACACGCGTGGAACGCCATCGGACTTTGTGGATGACTACGTGGACTATGTGCCAGACATCGGCGAGTTTGCGTCGACGAGCACAGGTGGCAGTGGTGGCACGACTGGCAGCAGTACGACTGGTGGTAGTACGACTGGTGGCAGTACGACTGGTGGTAGCACGACGAGTGGTACGACGCCTCCGCCCCCTCCGCCGCCTCCACCGTTTGTGGCAGGCAACGTGCTTGTGGACGGCGAGGTGTGGGACTGGATGATGCGCAACCACACGTACGTGGTCGACGGCACGAACGACGGACTGTCTGCCGCGGATGCGCAGCCGTACAAGCACGATCTTCGGGCCGGCGACGACTTTGTCATGCTGCGGTACAGCAGCACCGACGAGGTGGTGCATGGATTTGGCGAGATGCGCGGGCCTGTCGGGTCGACGGACGGCGATCTTGCGTTTTTCATCCAGCCCAACTCGACCAACTGGGGCTACGAGTACCTGCCTGGAAAGTATGCGGTGGCAATGATGCTCAACGGGATTGGGTATGTGTATGACCGCCAGGACAAGAGCAGCGCATGGGTATGGCGACCGATGGATGCCGGGTCGTACGCGTACGCGGCGTCGGGCAACAACACTGAGTTTATGATGCAAGCATCCGAGTGGAGCTCGTTTACGACGAGTGGTGGTTATGCTGTGCAAGGCAAGTCTGTGGACACGCGCGGCACACCGTCCGACTTTGTGGACGATTACGTCGACTATGTACCAGACATCGACGAATTTGCATCGACGAGTACGGGAGGAAGTGGTGGCACGACAACTGGAACGACTGGCGGCAGTACAACTGGTGGAAGTGCGACAGGTGGTAGTACGACAGGTGGTACAAGCGGAGGAACAACGGGTGGCACGACGCCCGCGCCTACCCCCGCACCAACGCCGGCCCCGACGCCGAACTTTAGCAGCATGTCGTGCATGGAGGTCGGGAGCCAGGGCATGCGGGTGTACTGGCAGCCGATCACCGGTGCTGACACGACAATCACACTGGGTATGTCTGTGCCGTCGAGCACGGGCTGGGTCGGCATGGGCTTTGTACCGTCGTCGACGTCGATGGCAAACGGCGACTTTGCGTTTGCGTACGTGGACGGTGCAACGCCATACCTTCTGGACACACACCGCGGGGCCGGATCCGGTCCTGTGGCCGTGGACACTGTCGGTGACTACACAGGTACGACAGTGATGAATTTTGGCGGTGTGCTGCAGGCGCAGTTTACACGTGCGCTTGTGACCGGCGATAGCCAGGACCGCGACATTGTGGCCGGCCCGAATCTGGTTGCGTGGGCGTTTAACTCTGCAGCGACGCCGTCGAACCCGCCGACCGGTAGCGACTACCACACGGCGCGGGGAACAGAGATGATCGACTTTACTGCTGTGATGTCGTGCAGCGGCGGAACGAGTGGCGGAACGAGTGGCGGGACGAGCGGCGGCACGACGGGTGGAGAGCCCACGCCTCCGCCTACTCCTGCGCCTACTCCTGCGCCTACTCCTGTGCCTACTCCTGCGCCCACCCCCGCACCAACGCCGGCCCCGACGCCGAACTTTAGCCCAACTTTAGCAGCATGTCGTGCATGGAGGTCGGGAGCCAGGGCATGCGGGTGTACTGGCAACCGATCACCGGTACTGACACGACAATCACACTGGGTATGTCTGTGCCGTCGAGCACGGGCTGGGTCGGCATGGGCTTTGTACCGTCGTCGACGTCGATGGCAAACGGCGACTTTGCGTTTGCGTACGTGGACGGTGCAACGCCATACCTTCTGGACACACACTCGCGGGGCCGGATCCGGTCCTGTGGCCGTGGACACTGTCGGTGACTACGCAGGTA